TTTTTTTCCCATTATTCCCAACTAAAACCTTTTCCATGCCCCTAAAATGTCACAAAATTGGCACCTCCAAGGCAGGGCTTGGATCCTCTCGGATTTGGCTTCCTCGGGCGGAATTCGAGGTGCAAATTCCTCGTTTCCCTGGGAATTCCTGCTCCAAGTGTGAGGTTGTTTGCCCTGGTTTTTAAAACCTTTTCCCTGCCCCCAAGATGTCACAGAAGTGGCACCTCCAAGTCACCCCCGAGGCAGAGCCTGGACCCGAAATTTCAGATTTTTTTGGTTTTTTTTGTTTTTTTGTTTTTTTTTTTGGGAATTCCTGCTCCTGCTTTGCCTTCCCCTGCCGCGTTTTTTTCCCTCCCGTGTCTGAGGGTGTCACCTTTTTTTTTGGTGTCACCTTTTTTTGGTGTCACCTCCTGGTGTCGACAGGAACCTGCTCCTCTCCTCCCCACCTGCACATTAAAAAAGCGATTTGGAAACGGGGTTGGCACACCCCTGAATAAAAATATCTCTCTTTTCTTCTCCAGATCAGACATTCCCCACCCTTCCCGTAATGAGGGGGTAGGTGGGGAGCGATTTCAGCATTCCCAGACGTGGAAATGGCGTGGCCAGCACGGAGCTGGAGGTGAAGAAATCCACAGGCACAATCCCAACAGTGGGAGGTTTATCTCCAAAATTTCGGGGGTTTTTTTTATGGGCTTGAGTCCCTACAGACAAGGGGGTCACCTTCGGCTTCAAACTTATCCAGACTTTAGAGTTTAAATAAATTTGAATAAGTTTCTATTTATTTAAAATTGCGACTTCCAAGTGTTCAGTTCCCTCTTTATGAATTTAAGGCTTTGCTCCACTTAAATTCGCCTTTTGGCGGTTTTTAAGATTTGCCTCCAAAATCCCAAACTCTGAAGACCAAAATTCTGTCTGAAAATCAAATTTCTATCAATAATTTCAAGCATCTCTCAGAGAAGACCCGACCAGATGATGATTTCCTTTGTGGGATTAGAAGCAATTCCTCCCTATTAAAACTTCTTTTTTTTTCTTTTACTTCAGGCACAAATCCCTCCCCCAACCCCTTTTGAAAACGGGAAACTTTTTTTTTTTTTTTTTTTTACTTCAGGCACAAATCCCTCCCCCAACCCCTTTTGAAAACGGGAAACTAAGGGAGATATTTTGGGGTCTGAAGACGCAGAAACGGGGAGAAAAAAAAGACAAAAGACAACTGGTGCCATCGATGGTCATTTTTTTTTAATGCTGCACAGGGGATTTACAAGACACAAGAGGGGAAGGGGGAAAAAAACGTCGACGTCTTCCACCACCACCTGCTGCCAGCGCTTCCCGAGACCCCCAACGCTAAAATATCAGGAATTGATCGAGGAAAAACGCTGGCATGGCAGGAGCAGAAGTGAAAACACAGGGAACAGAGAGGAAATTTTTTTTTCCAAGAAGAACAAAACGTGGGACGATCAGAGCAGGAGAGGCCTCGCGGCGTCGCCCGCGGGTCTGCGCCGTGTTCTCCACGCCGGGATCAGCAGGGCCCGGAGCAGGGCTCCAGGCACACGGCCTCGCACTTCTCCACGCACTTGGTGCTGCAAACCTCGGACTGGCACTGCTCCACGCACTTGGTGACACAAGGCTCGGGGCACTGGGCCGGGCACTGGGGGACGCAGACGTCCACGCACTGTGGGGCGCAGCTGGTGGCACACTGGGTGGCACAGGGGGTGGCACAGACGTCCACGCACTGCGGGGCACAGCTGGTGGCACATTGGGTGGCACATGGGGTGGCACAGACGTCCACACACTGTGGGGCACAGCTGGTGGCACACTGGGTGGCACACGGGGTGGCACAGACGTCGGCGCACTGCGGGACGCAAACGTCCACGCACTGCGGGGCGCAGCTGGTGGCACACTGGGTGGCACACGGGGTGGCACAGACGTCCACGCACTGTGGGGCACAGCTGGTGGCACATTGGGTGGCACAGGGCTCCTGGCAGACCTCGACGCATTGGGTGGCGCAGGGCTCGGGGCACTTGACGCATTTCTGCAGGCAGATGGCGGGGGGCAGGCAGGGCTGCTTGCGCTGCTCGTAGTAGTAGGACATCCTGGAGAGGTGCAGGGGTAGAAGGAAAAGCTGGGAAAAAAGCTGGGAAAAGGACAAAAAAAAAAATAAATTAGGATTTCAGCCTGTGAGGTCTGTGCCCCGCTGAGGAAAGGAACGTCAGGAAAAGCCGCCCGAGTTCAGGATTCCCCGATTCTGGGGTTGGGCATCAAGTCCAGCTCTTCGGGGAATGGCCCCTGCTGGGATCAGCAGCACCACGATCTGGGCCAGTCCCAGGGTGTTTGTGGGATTCCCTTCCTTCATTGGGAACCAATGAGGAAACCTCGAGGCGCAAATCCTGAATTTTACGGGATTGCCCGGAGTCCAGCTTGGTAGAAGCCATGACACAAAAATACTTCAGCTCCTCCTGCTCTCAGCTCCTCAAGGTTTATCCCTTCCTCATCAGATCCTCACGCCCACCTGGGCACGTTCCCCACGCTGGGAATTCCCAACCACAAAGCCCAGAGGCCAATCCTGCCATTATCCCATGGAATCATGGGGCGGTTTGGCTCGGGAGGGATCTCAAAGATCATCACCTTCCAACCCAGACCAAGCTGCTGCAAGACCTGTCCAGCCTGGCCTTGGACACTTCCAGGGATGGGGAATCCATGGAATAACCTGGGCCAGGGCTTCCCCTCTTAAATTTTTTCCCAATATCCAACCTAAATTTCCCATCTTTCAGTGTAAACCCGTTTTCCCTTTTCCTGTCCATGCAGTTCCAGAGGAAAAAATCTCTCTCCAGCTTCCCTGGAGCTCCTGCAGATCCTGGAAAAGACTCCAAGGTCTCCACAGGCTGAGCATTCCCAGCTCTCCCATCCTGATGATCCTCCAGATCCTGGGATGCCACTGGAATTTTTTGGGAGGATTGATTGGACTCGTCCTTCTGTGAGGGAAGGGTTGGCCCAGAGGCTGCAGCTCCCATTTCCAACTCATTTCCTCCTCTTGGCTTCTCCCAGAGATCTCCCCAGGCTTTGCCTGCAGGAATCCTGCAGCTCCCTCCTTCCAGATAAAACCTTTTCCCACCCATCCCGTTTGAAGTCCCAGGAGCTGCTCCACAGCATCCACTCATTTATTCAATCCCCAGCCTTAATGAGGCAGGAACAAATTAACCAGGAGGGAACAGGAGGGACCAGAAGAGGCAGCCACTTTTTTGGAGGAGGTGACTTCCCCAACCTCCTCCAGGCACAGCAAACCCTAAAATAAAATCCCCAATCCCAAGACAAATCCCGGCCGAGAAGCAGAAGAGCGAAACTCCCGGCGGACCAAGAACAAACTCCATTTCCCACGAGATATCCTGATAAAAATTCCCTGATAAATCCCAGCAGGACTTACCTGGTCACCGGTCCTGGAGAGCGACGGAGAGAATCCAAAGGAACTGGCGGGAGCCTCCGAATCCAAACCTTTTATACGGCCGGAGTGGCGTCAGCTCCGGAAACGCGGGAGCCCAGGGGGACGGACAGGTGACCACAAACTGCCCCGGCAGGCTCCACCTCCACGTGCTTTGCATGTTTGGTTTGCATCCTAATTTTTTGGTGGAAGCCCTCTTCCAGGAAAAGCAGGTGATGCTGAGCCAGCCCCGCTCCGGTCATGCGGTTCCCAACGGGAATGGCGGGGTCATTAAAAAAAAAAAAAAAAAAAAAAAAAAGTACAAACCAGCTGGTGTTGAATTAATTGGTTTTCTGAAAGGGGTTTAATGTGCTGGGACGTTTTCAGTGGCCTTATTTTCATAAATGTCAGGTTTTGATACTTGGGGTTTTTCCAACTTGGGATGGCTGTTATTAGGGAAGATGGATAATTAATTGGATTTACTATGAGAAATGCCCCGTCCTAATTCTCATGGGAAGGCACAGCCAATTCTCCAGCGCTCCCAAAAAAACCTTGAGGTCCTCGTTTTCCTGATAAATTAATTTTTTTTTTTTTCATTCATCCAACCCATTCCTCTCCATGGATTAACACCATCCATGATTGGAAATTCCAACAGGGACACAGCTCCAGCTCCTTTGAGGAATATTTCAAGCCTTTCAAGGCAGAATAACCCTCATTTTAAAAATGATTTTTCCATCCCAGAAAAATGCAAAAAGTCTCCGGTTTAATTGACATTTAGGCCCAGGATACAATCTTTATTAAAAGTTTTGCCCATAAAGAAAAATCCCAAT